AAAAAAAGTACGTAAAACAAAAACAAAACTACTCACATGTGCCGCTCGTGCTGTCCTTGTGCTTGCGCTGAAACCACTTAGCACTTCTTTGAAGTGATACTGCGTATGCGTTGGCAGCGCATTGCGCCTTCCATAGACCCCAATCGAAGCGCCACGCGGTATGGTATAATCGAATTTCACATAAGCCGGTTCCGATTGATAGAATTGCATATTCCAATAGCTGTAGGGTTGTATCTCCTTAGTCAACTTTTGTCCCAAAGTAATTTGCCCGAAAGTAGTGCCATCTGGTGGGAAACTGCGTGCTGGAAAAGTACGCGCGCCTACACCGCATTACGCGAGCATTGCGTGAGTGCGCGTGAGCAGAGAGCGAAAAAAATGAATGCGCACAAATTGCAGCAATGAGTGATGGTGTGAGTAGCCGCCGAAGTGATGAGCGCGATACGAGTAGAAAAACATTTGCGAACACACACATTATGATGAGAGAGAGAGAGAAGAGAAAAAGGGAAAACCACGAATGGTTTTTAGACATTTACATGGATTCTTTTCGTTTAAATATGAGCAGATTTATGCTTAAATAATTTAATATAGGCGTAATTTATACAAAATTTACAACTTTTGGGGTAAATTTACAAAATCCAGATCTCTTCTGGTAATGTGTTTTCTGAAGATCTTTTGGTTCTACACACAAATGAAGTATGAAATCGTGGTGTTCTACATATCGTCGTTTAAAATACAAAACGGCGTATCAACAAAACCGCGTATGTGAGGTTGCATAAACTATTTTCTAGAGAGTAAAGACACTCCTATTTCAAAATGGATCTCTTTTTTTATAAAGCAATCGCATTTCTGGGTAGTATATTTCAGGACGAATGGATAAAGATTGAGCCAAGAGCTTGTGTAAGCAAATCCAATTTTTGGCAAAAAATGTCAGTTACGCGGCTTTGCAGAACGACGATATGCAGCTTTGTACTTTAAACGACGATATCATTTCTTTATACTGTGAACTTGCAGTGTATGTCAATTTATGTTAGAAAACGATTCTTCTACCCAGAAGGTACTACAGATTCTGTTGATTATGTCAGAGCTTCCCCTGCTGATGAGCTCTATACTTTACTCTGAGCACTCGTACTAGTTTCGATTGGTATTTCAATAACAGATGAGTATGTCGTTGGTTTTTAAATTGTTTAACCTTCATCGATCATCTACATATATGAAGGGCATTGTTCCTCTGCGCCCTTGGCTTGCTCTTTGCTTTGTTCGAGGTAGGGTCACACATATACATATATACTTAGGAGAGCGCTTGGTGGGATTGCAAACAGTACGTTTACGTGAATGAAAGAGAGAGGCTTTTTAGCATTAAGCTGCACTGGCAATTCATTAACCTTTGTGTTGCCTAATTCTCCCTGCATATATGTAATTTTCTTATTATTTTGAAACGTAGTCATATTCCTAATTTCGGTAGATGTATATTGTATGTACATGTTGGGTATGATTATGAATAGCAATAGTGAATAGGTAGTCATGATGATTTCAATTTCGTTTTTAAATGATGTCATGATTTGGGTTTTGATTTCCATTGCCAATTTCTGTACTCCAGGTGATGATTATGGTATTAATGCATATGAGATAGTTAGCAGTAATGAGTATTCAATTCAAATAATTTTTACTTAAATACTTAATAAGTACTAGAGAATTGAAAATTGTAATACTTATATATAGGTATAATCTATTAAGCACTCGAATAAGTTCTTCATATTTTTTGGAGTGAGTCCTTGATGTTGGATCTATCGTCTTTTTGTTTGTTTTTGAAGTACGGATACTTACGAAATAGTGAAATATTTTGATATTTATTTCAATATTATACATAAGTCATTGAGCAGTAAAATCTAAATGAAGTGGTACTAGTAGGACGAAGTTTTACGCATTTAATGTAATTATGTGTGTACCCTAGGGTGCACCATCCTCCATTAAAAAAATCGCTACTTGGTTTCCATCGGACTTATAAAATTTATTATATTTTAAGACTTGGCAAAAATATTTTGGTAAAATATTAAGATTTACGTGAGATGGAACGTTCTCAAAAAAAAACTGCAAAAAAATTTTTTGAAGTGAAACTTCTTTAGCGGCGGTTGGTTGGGGTTGGGAGTAAATTGGCAAATTCAACGGAAATTTCACACGGAAATGGTGCAACGGAAATGATTGGGGTTGAAACAGGGTCTTCTTGAGTATATGCAAATGGTATTAATTTAAGAAAAACATGCTAATAAAAGGTTAAAGAATAACACTTAGAAAAAGACCAATACAAGAATGAAAGTAAAGGGGAGTACGTACATAGATAAAGAAAAGGATAAAGGCAAAGGTAAAAATAAAAACAAAAACAAATATGCGTAAAGATATAGGCAAAAACTAAGATCAAGGTAAATTTAAACACTATGTAGATGATGAAAATGATAACCATAAAAGTAAAAACAAAGATAAATATAAGGAAAAAGATGAGGAACAGTAGAGATGAAGATAGAGGAAGAAAGATATTAAATAAAGGTAATTATAGAGAAAAAAATATAGATGGAGACACAGATACTCATTCTGTAAACTATTTTGGGATTTTAGAGGTTTTTGGGATTCTCGGGACTTACCGATATAATAATCGATTTTTTTTAATCGATTTTGCTATCGATATTTTTATCGATTTTGTTATCGATATTTTTATAGATTCTCTAATCCATTTTTCTACACATATATTATTATTGATTTTGCTATAGAAATTTTTATCGAACTTGTCATCGATTTTTTTAGCGATATTTTTATCGGTTTTGTTATCGATATCTTGTTGGATGTTACTACCGATTTTGTTATCGAAGGAGTATACATATAAAAATGAAGATAAAGAAAAACAGAATAACATAAATGTAATTAGAACGAACAGGGTAGAGGTAGGGATCTAGATAGCAAAAAGACAAAAGAATATATTCTTAAGAAAAATCAGATGTATGTATGTATATTGGTTGAGACAAAATAGACATGGAACGTAAGTTTCACTTCTCCAGTGGGGCCTAGGCGCACTTACTTTTTTTACAAAATATCACCTCAGATGATAGAAGAATTTATTCTCAAAAGGTGTCCATAAAAATGTTAAAACATTTTATCAACGGAATCAAAATAATGAGATTTTTGGAGGTATTTAAAGGAGAGGGTTTATCTTACCTCCGATCGCAAAAATTTTCTTTGTACACAAAATCTTCAAAAATATATTTGGTGGTGTCGCATGGCATCAGGCTGCCGCATGACCAAACGAATAAACTATCTGTTAGTTTTAACTAAGTCCACGCCCTGAGGAGTCCCGCAGTTTGCGTAAAAAATTCCTTCGATCCACGAGTTTTTCAGTTTTTTCGAGTTTAAAAGCATTGCCTAAATAAGAATTCATTTGAATTGAGAACCGGCTATACTTCGCCAGAATATTAAACATAATTGATTTCAGTGAAAATTCACGTACAGCGAGTCAAACAAGTGTTCACATGTTTTTTTAACCGACTTCCAAAAAAGGAGGAGGTTATCAGTTCTTCGGAATATTTTTTTTTTTTTTTGTTTTTTTTTATGTATGTTACCGCATAACTTTGGACCACGTCAACCGATTTCGGGTCCCATACTAATCTGGTTGAGATCCGATCAGTGGATCGTGAGATATATATATATACATATTTTTTTATATGGGAGTTGAAGTCGGTTTTTTTTGCTAAAAATTACTTGTTTAATATTCAAAATGTTTTTCAATCTAAAATTTTATTGTTATTTTCTTATACAAATGTGTTTTTTGCTTTAGCCAAAGCCATACAAATCAAAGTTTTAAACCCTACAAAAATTTAGAAAACCGTCAGAAAAGAAAAAAATATTAAAAATCCACCCGATTTTTGGCGCTTGAAACTTGCGCTTTATTATACTACTAAAATTTAATGCGCTATAAAACTATATACCCAAAAATTTTCTAAAGATTTCTGTTAAGTTGTTCGAAATTTTGATGAAAATTTGTTGAATTTCCTAATTTTTTTCGAAACTTTGATTCATTATGGTTTTGGTTAAAGCACGAAGAAAATTTGTATATAAAACCATTTTTTTTTTTAATTGAAAAACATTTGTATGGAATTTATAATTTTAAAAAGCTTATCGGCAGTTTATCAATATGAATATCCCTATTATGAGTATTAAAGAAAATCAACATGTGAATACTTTTTTGAGTCACAGTAATTTTTAAAAAGAATATAACTTATTCGAGTCTTCAATAATTTCCATATATGATACTAATAAATAAGTAAGCGATTTTATTTTATAAAGGCTAACTTACGTATATAATTGTTTATGCTTTGTTTACGTTATATTTAGATATACATATTTATATTTTATGTTTATGTAATTTAACCAACCCATTACCGTACCGTATTAACAAAATTTTATACAAATGTAGCACTGTAATAAATTTAATGAAAGTTAAGGTTATTACTTTATAATTATGAAAAGTTAAAACTTCCTCTACCACAGTGATGGGCAAAACGTTGTACGCGCGCTTAGCCATTTTAAGCTTTCTATGCATTTTATGAAGACCAGTAACGACCATCACATAGCACGAGGGCAAAGCTTACAGTAAATTTTATATGGGCGCCCACAAAGGTAAAATCTCTCTATGCCCATCACCGTTTTGCCGCCATAGCGAGACAACATGTTAGATATAAAATGATGAGATTAGTAAGCCTCGATGTACACGAATCACTGATTTTTTTTTTTGTTTAATCTACTTTGTTAGTCTACCAAGCATGTGCCAGTGAAAGAGTTAGTACGTTCCTTTAGTTACCATATACCATAAAAAACAATCACCTTCAAGTATCAGAATAGGCATAACATCAGGACATGCAATTTTGCTGCCATCACCAACAACAACATGATCATCAAAACCAGCGCCATGCGACGCATCAACACCAAGCAAATTAGTAAATGAAGTGGTAGTAGTAGTAGTGGTAGCTGTTGTTGTTGCAATGATAGAATCATCGGTAGCGCTATCAATATTGGTTAGCATAGCAGTTGTGATTGGTAAGGGTGGTGGTGGTGGTGGATGTATGGAATCGTCGTAAGTAGTGGTCGAGGCAGCAGTGGTAGTGCGATAATTATCTGTGGCTTGCGTGCTAAAATCGATGTCTTCAGCGAGATCATCATCATCGAAAGCGCTCGCTTCTGTGTGTGTCAAAAAATCGCTACATTTGCAAGGACATTCTGGTATTGGTGGCGGTGGTTCGGCTATGCAATATGGACTGCTAGTATGGGAAGGTGCTGCTGGGTGTTCATGGCTTTCGTGATGTTGCTCTTCACTTTTCAAGCGCTCATGAGTGAGTACCTCTTGCAGATCATGCGATTGACCACCTAACGGCACGGCGACATGCAGAGTATACACTGAGTTGCTGTCACCCTCGGTGGCTATCGTTACATTGACCAGTATATGCTTGCTTGGTGGATCATAGTACTCACTCACTATGGGCGCTTTGAGTGGAAAGTGTTGTAGTTTTTCAGCATAATTGGTAGGTGCATCGACGTCTTCGGCGCTTTTGAGTACTTCGTTTTCGAACGCATTTGGCGCGGGGTGCTTAGGCGTAGGCCGACTTGTGACCACTACCTTACGTTTGCTATATATGTGATGCGCCTTATCACGCGCATTTGTATTACCCTCAATAGTTTTGTAGATTTCATCTTCGCTGGAGTGTGTATCCTCTAGCTTGATGATATCGATGTCGTCCGCAGCAGCAATGCGTTGAACATTGAGTTGCGGGTAGTCATTAGCAGGAGCATTCGAATTTAAAATTGAATGTAAATTGCGTTGTATGTTGTTGTTGTGATTGCTGAGCACTTGTGTATAGGTATTTGTTTTAGTATTACTGTGCAGCGGCATTAAACCGTCATTAAGCATCAGCTCATCATCTTCAAAGCTGCTTTCATCAACAGCTGTTGACGCACTTTTTGTTTGGATTAAATGGGTTTTGCTTGTTGTAGCTTCCACCATTTCAGCTACATCTTCGGTTGCTTCGCCTTTAAATGTTTCATCTTTCTCGTTACTGGCTTCAGTTTTTTCTGCGGATTGCGCAGTGGGGG